CCTCCTCCGTGAAGTCTGAAATGTCTGACTGACACTGCGGTTTGAAGAACTTAAGACCAGGGGCGCCTGGGCGGCTCAGTCAGTTAAGCGTCCGACTTCGGCTCCGGTCCCCATCTCGCGGTTCGTGGGTTCAAGCCCCGCATCAGGCTCTGTGCCGACAGCTCGGAGCCTGCAGCCTGCTTCATTTTCTGTCTCCCTCTTTCTCTATCCCTTCCCCATTCACCCTCTGTCTGTCTGTCTGCCTGTCTCAAAAATAAACATTAAAAAATTTTAAAAATTTAAATAAAGACAAGCAATGTTTCAAGGTGCCTGGGCAGGCGTGGGCAGACGGACGAAGAGGCAGGGCTATGCTCCCTATCTGGGATGTCCTTGAGCATAGCACAACATATCAGCTGTGTCAAATTGAGTGAAGGTGAAGGAAGGAATACTAAGGGAAACAGACTTGCACATAAATGTTTTAGATGATACTCCCAATGACCCGATGGAAGCAGAGTAAGGTCCACGGAGCTCATCACATGCCGACACTTCACGGCAATTCATCAGAAATATTTAACTCTTACAATGGGAATACAGAAGCACAAATGTTTAGATGACATGCCCAGCAAACACCTGCCTACCTTCCCAAGACCGCCGGAAGGACCCAGCGACATAGCATACGCAAACTTGTAAGTTGAAAAGAAGTAAAACACAGCAACTGCCTCAGCTCCCACAGCAAATAAGGCTGTAGTCCGGTCACGGTCACTACGTGCGTCTCCTAGAACAATGCTTCTCAAAGTTACCGTGTCCACAGATCACCCCGGAGTCCTTGCCAAAGAGCAGATTTCTCATCGGGTAGGTCTGGGGTGGGGGTGGGGGTGGGGAGATCCTGCTCCCCACCCAGTTCCTGGGCAAGGCAATGCCAGCCCCCTGGGACCACCCTCGTGAGGAGCGAGGCTCTGAGAGGTCACCCCGATTCTTGGTGCAGGACAGCTCTGGTAGGACACATTCCTGAGTGCACCGCAGGCGTGAGCGTCCCTCCCGTGGGCTTTGGAGAAAGTCGGCATGCTTCGTTTGGTTCTGAACAGAGTACTTTAAACTCAGTAGCAAAGTGTCCTTTCTCGGGCGGCCCAAGAGCTCAAGGGTTGATTTTTAATTACGGTGTCTGCCAGGCTCTAGTTTTCTAGGACGAGAGTCGGCAACAGGCAAAAACCCAGAAAGCTGATTTGCCAGTTTACTATTCTAGACTTCAGCTCCTCTCCAAGGGGGGTCGGAGGAAGGGAAGAACTCTGTCCTCGTAAACACACCCTGACACACACAGCAAAAGAAAACCCTGCCAGTTTGGAACTAAATTTGGACTAAATTGTCTTCTCTATCGGAAGAATCGGGCTCAAAATATCCAGGAGGGGGAAAAAAAAGAAAAAACACCTGAGCAAACAAGAAACTTGCAGAAATGCAGCTCCCTCCTGGTACAGAAGCACTCCGGTCTCACGGAGTCTGGCTGGGAATAAAAAGACGCCAGCAGGGTCTGCAGACCGGTGGTTGTCCAGGCTGCGTGTGCATCAGAATCATCTCGCTGGACAAAATTCAGACGCTCCACCCCCAGGGTTTCCGATCGATCGGGCCGGAGGGAGGGCGCAGAAAGGTGCTGATGAGGCCACTGCCGGGGTCCCCAGACATGGCCCGCAGCACAGGGTCTATGCAAGGGGGAGGCACCACGTCTCCCACACAGCCGCACCCCGGCGCCCAGCACCGGGCCCGGCACGCACCGCTCGCCCCCAACAAGTATTTGCCAAACCAATGCCTGTTCTGACTTTCACTTCCAGAAACATTTTCCTGCTCGCCTATATACACTTGCACTTTGAAAGCCAATTACACGTGTCCCAGGCATGACAGCCCGTGACCCGTAAACGGGGACCTGTAAACGAAATCCATCCCAATCACAGACACTAGTATCACTTTTCCCAGACACTCTCCAGACAGTCGGCCTCTGAGCCTTCTCCCGCTAAAGCGGAAACGCACACACAACTCACCGGGCCGGAGGACCCCAAAAAGAAGGACCCTACTCGGGTAAGACAGGTCAATTCATTTCACGCATGCTCGGGCAAAAATGAGATCTTTCGTCAAGACAAGAATTTGCTGGGAGAGCACACAAATATCTGCGTCCCCCTCGGAAACCCAGAGATGGTGCCGGACCCAAGATGCAGCCCCGCAGGACGAAGTGCAGGGTGGGGGGGGGGGGGGGGGGGGGGGGCGGCGTTGCGGATTAACTCCCTAACTCCGAGCTCTGCACAGAAGGGGCTGTGGCTGGTGCTCTTCAGATCCTCTGCCTGATCTGCACGTTACCATAGCCACCAACCTTCCGAAAAACAGGTGTTTCTGTTAAAATTAGCTGTTTCAAACTGTTCGGTGTTCTAGATCCCTAGATGCCAGCTTTAAAAAAAAAGTGTTCACGGGATAACCAATCGGAGGTCACCGATGCTTCTGGAATCATAGTCTTTAGATCTTCCTGAGAAACATCTCCCCTAAATTAGGAGAAAGGGGGCGGGGTGGGAGGAAAGAAACTGAAGTTGGGGGGAACACACACACCACACACACAATTTCTCTAGTTCCTCACATCGACCCGGAACGAATAACAGGACGAGGCCATGCTTAAACCAGCCAAGCAAAGACAGCTTTTTTTTCGGGTTAAGTCTTGTGTTTGAAAGCCTTTTGTCCCACTTATTTGCCTTGACTGTCATAAATAATGGCTTTTGTTCTAAGACTTTAGGCATAATGATTTCCTTCTCTCCCGAAGATCCAAAGGAAGGTTTTCAACATCCCCGGTCAGGATGGCCCCATTAATCCTGGGTAAGAAAACGTGCCCTTGGATGTCAAAACAGCCCAAGGATGAGGTCTTAAGTGAACTCTAATGTGGTTGAATTACAACAAAACAAAACAAAACAAAACCAGGCCACTCTGATTTGAGTCCTGGAACACCAGTGATCTCTGCTGACCTCGTTAAACCCAATGAACTAGGTCTGAGATGTTCCTTTTTTCAAAATCAGGGCTATTTTAAAAACAAGTTTAGCAAGCTGGTGCACTGAAAGCTGAGATGACAAGAGGCCCTCGCCTGCAGAAGCAGCACAGACACAGAGATGCACTGCGCTCCTTGTTCTGGTTTCCCGAGAACCTGCTGAACAAAATACAAGAATTCATTTCGAGCCACCTGCTGGAAGAAAAATCCCAAACTTATCTTAGAGAACAGGAGGGGAAGGGAGGACGTGAAGACACCAGTGAAACTTTTAACCACTTCAGAGGACAGAGATTTTGACTATTACAGGACACCTTTCATATACAGAAACGTAAAGGGACACCACCAGGTGGCTATGACAAAAAGCAGCTTTAAAATTGATTTGCTGGCAGGCTAGTTAACTTCATCCAAGTAGGCAGAGAAAGCGAGGGCTTTTTTGGCACGCGGTGTCCTGAAAAGTGCTTCTGTACGCAACGAGCCCAAGCAACAACTGGCAATTATCTTTGTCTGAATCAAACACCAAACTTAACGGGTTCCTGGCCCTAGTGTTGTTCTACCTTGCTCTTTTCAGTTTGCTCTCTGTGACCTGCATAGGCCAAAGGGAGCAGATAATTAGAGACTCTACAATAACTTCTGTACATAAATAAAAGTAGCCATTCCTAAATGCAAGCAGGATGGCCGTTGGCACACGGGTTAAGATTTCTCCCCGCAAATTCTTCCGGAACCTGACTGACCCAGACTTAAAGAAGGGGCAGGGGGACGGGAAAAAACCTTCCCAAGGTCACTTTCATTTTTTACACACTTTAAACGTCTAAATCTACCAAGACCCAGGAGAAAGCCAAGAGCGCCCTTGACGGTTTTTTAAGAAACGTGTACGTGTACTACCATTTTAAGACTTTTCCAAACATCGAATTCGGAGCAGTTACACGATCTAGTCTTACCCAACACGGGTTTACACGCCGAGCATGAGGTTCCAGTAACAAACACAGCTATTCAAGTTAAACAGTCATCAAAAGGACTTTCTAACATATTACGGTGAGAAAGTCTTTCTTCTCAGATCCGCGGGAACTACAAAGGTTTAGGCACAACAAACCCCAAGAAAAGTGTAAACGGAGCAAATTTAAAGCATGTATGACTTCTCCTCCGCGTGGCTCCCCAGGACAGGCGCTGCAAATAAACATGTTACACTTTCCGTGGGGAAATGTCCAAAACTTAACTAGGTTCAGCAAAACTGTAACACCCCTCCCTCCCCAATGTTTTCTTAGCGTGTCTGCAGAGAGGACAAACCACCTCAAAATAACTCCAAACTTCAACTGAGGCGATTCTTCCAACGCAGAATCAACAAGGGCGGATCTTGAGACAAGGTCACCAAAATCAGCCCTTGGCCCGCAACAATGCTGCGGCTCTAGAAAGTTCTCCACGCTTCCCCCCCCCCCCCCAACACCTCTCCCTCTATTACAGTCCAGATTCCTCTGTACTTTCTCCTGACATCACCGGATCTTGTCCGAATAGACCCGCCTACTTAAATGAGGCTCCACGCTCTCCTGGAAAGAACTTGGGTCTACTTCGACAGCTGCACTGCACGGACCCTCCGACCCGAGGAGGGTGGGGTACCACGCAGGATTAGGGAGACCCTTAATCTGAAAGAGACGGGCAGAATACCACTCAGACCAGGGTCAGCCTGAACCAGTGTTCATCAGGGCAGAAAGGGGTGGGAGACAAAGGGGGCTGACTTATGTTCCAGGAGAAACCAGAGGCAAGACAAAACCCCACCGACAGCCCAGCCCCCGCACCCACGCCCGTGACACGTGCTCTACATCGACAGTGTCACACCGTGCTCTCTTCTTGAATCCCAGGTTGCTCAAAGCGGTGACTCTCCAGGAAAAAGGAGACAGGGCTGACGACCGGAGGCACTGCTCCCGAAGCACAGGCTCCGGGGCGCCCTTCCAGAGAGCGCGTGCAGAGTGCAACGTCACAGCGATCGAACATCAACAATGAGTGCCAAAGGCCATCTGAGAAACATAACATTTTAATAGATGAAATAAATACTCCAGTACATGCACGGTAAAAACTTGACATTGGGGGGAGGGGGGAAGGAGGGGGGAAATCACTCTATAGTGTAAATTAAAAAATAAAACACACACTCACAGTAGCTTTCCCCCCCATTTGCAAATCACATGGCAATGTCATACTCTTTCCACACCAAGTATACGCCTAATCCAACACGATTTGCTTAAAAAAATAACAGCATACAAAAAAAAAAAAAAAAAAGATAGCTACATCCATGTCTAAGGAGTGAAACTGAGGTAACCTTTCTTTTAATTAGGAAAAATCAAAACAAAACGGGAAAAAAAAAAAAAAAAAAACGGGCCAAAAAAGAAACGAACCCATGACCTCCTTCCTGCCCGATTGGTTAGAAAATTGAGGGGCGGAGCTCCGGAACAGGAGCCGGGGGCGGGTGCGGGCGCGCCACCTCGCGGTCCCTGCTGCGTGCGCGCAGGTGGGCGCTGCGGCGGGAGGGGCCCCCAGCTCTCTGGAAGGTTCTTTCCGAGCGTCTGCCGTGGGGGAGGGGCTTCCCCTGGGATTTCTTTGGTATAAATGGAGAGGGGCGGAGAGTGAGTATCTTCCTCTAGTGGGGGGGGGGGCGGGAGGGCGAAGGGGCGCGGGGCGGGGGTGCTAATTCACAGAATTGGAATTCACTGGCGGTAAAGTCCTGGGCGAAGACCTCTCCCGTAAAGCCTGAGATAGCAGGGTGCAGCCTTCAGACACGGCGCAGGCCGAGTTCCTCAGCCTCTCCCTGTGGTCCGACATCTTGGCGCCCCCGTCGGGGTGCTGCGCCAGATCCCTGAGGCACTGGGTCAGGAGCACGCAGGCCGACACCACGCTCATGGCGCCGCCCAGGATGGCGGTCTGCACCGCCTTGCCCTCGGCGCTCACGGCCGCCGCGCGACCCAGGAACTGCGGCTCGGTGGCGAAGCCCACCAGGGCGCTCACGGCCTGCACCAGCGGCCCGCTGAAGAGCGCGCAGCGGCTGCGGGCCAGCTCGCTGGGCGCCGCCTTCACCTCGCGCACGCAGGCCAGCAGCGCCGACGCGCTGGTGCTCATGCACTTGACGCCCAGCTTGAATTGCTCGCGGGAGAAGCGGTCCCGGGACTTGTCGCTGGCCAGGGCGCACGCGTCCGTCAGGAACTTGAGGTTGCGCGACAGGCCCTGGGACACCTCCAGCAGCAGCTGCGGCGTCATGTCGGCCAGCGGGGTGGCGCGCAGCACGGCGCAGCCCTGCTCCACCTCGTGGCGGCAGCGCGTCACGCGGTAGCGGTCCACCAGGCCCGGCTGCGCGGGCTGCGCGCCCGGCGTGGCCACGGCCGCCAGGTAGGCCGCGTGGGCGGAGCACTCGGTCAGCGACACCACCAGGTCGCCCAGCTCCACCAGGCTGTCCCCCGCCTCCCCGAAGCGGCCCATGTTGAGCTGGCTCTGCACGTCGTGGGTGAGGATGGAGAGCCCCTTGGTGCGCGCGATGATCGTGTCCCGGCACTGCTCGAAGGACTCGGCGGCGCCGGCGCAGGAGGAGGCGGGGCCCTCGAAGAGCACGGGCCGCGCCTCGCTCGACAGCAGCAGCAGGTCGGCCACCAGCTGCATCTTGCCCTTGCAGTGGTCGCAGACGGACACCAGCCTCTTCCGCGGCTGCGAGCAGGCCCCCCCGACGGCGCTCGCAGGAGCCGGAGAAGCGGCCTCGCCAGCGGGCTTCCCGGCGCTGCCGCTAGCCATCGCGCCCGGGGGGCACTGGCATGCCGCTGGGGAGCCCGCTACCGCCGCCGCTGCCACTGCCGCCGCCCCCGCGGCCGTCGCGACTCGGCTGGCCAGGACCGCGGTGCCTTCCCCGCACCATCATGCCATCCACCGCGCCGGGCGGAAGGCGCTGGGCTGCGGCGGCCGGGGCCCGGGCGGCGCGGGGCGGGCCCGAGGGCCAGAGGACGCAGGAGGCTCTCCGGGGCGCGGGGAAGGGCTGCGGCGTTCGGCCTCCTGGAGGGCTTGCGGGAACCATGAACCGGGGCACGGCCAGACTCACGGAGCGCGCTCCTCGTCGCCGGGCTGCCAGGAAAGTCCCTTCTGCTGGGCCGCCGCTGCCGCCGCCTTCCTGGGCATGGCCCGGCCCGGCCGCCGGAGCGGGAGGGCGGGAGGGGGGGGG